AGAGAGAGAGAGAGAGAGAGAGAGAGAGAGAGAGAGAGAGAGATTCACACGGAGACCGACACAGGGGATATTACATAAAAGAGAGACACATTTCGTAGGTTTAGGGGTGGTACAGAAGGACAGAGATTGGCGGGGGTGTTTTGAGAAGAAAAAAAAGAAGAAAAAAAAAACGATCCCCAGAAGCCAAAGCAAAACAAAATCAAATCAGGAGAAGCAGTGGAATGAGAGGCGAGCAAGGGCCTGAGATTCCCTAGAATATTTATAACCTCCCAGGAGGCCAGCTATTTCGACCCAGCCCAGTGATAACCAGTCAGGTACGTCTGGCTGCATTAGGCCTAAGACATGTCGTGTTCCCATAGAGTGGCTGGCCTGAGATAAGGTCGTTTACAGACGTGGTTTCACCAAGGAGTTTAGAATTTTACTTTTAATCTCCTTGGGTTTCACTGGAATCGTTGAAAATGAATGTCTGGAGGCCTCAGTCTTTTCCTTTTTTCCTTGGGTGGGTGGCGGGTGCTCTCGTGGCAGGCGCTCTTAGTTTAAAGAGATTTTACAATACTAGCGGAATGGCAAATTGTACGAGCTTGTCTGTGATTTCTAGTTTTCTTTGTTCATGTTATCTGTGCCTGACTTGTACATTTTAGAAAATTAAAAAATCCCTTGTGGGTGGTTGGCAGTGGTGCTCTGGTGTGGTTGGCAGCGGTGCTCTGGTGTGGTTGGCTCCTTCTTTCCTGTCAAACATCTGTCGTCCTTATCTCTCATCCTTCTTTTTTGTGTTGGTTACTCTATCGTTCAGCACTTACATAATTATGTAATTGTGTTCCAAGTGCCATGAAACTCTTCCAAAAATATATACTATTTCGTTTGTATTTGAACATTTTTCCCAAATTTGTAAAAAAAATCAGGCCAGTTCTTTTAATCAGGTGTTCAGGGTGTGCAGACATAACTGTATTTACTGTAACATTGTCACCTGTTGCATAGTGTAACTTTATAGGTGATTAGTGGTTGCTCTGGTGCTGTTTGATCCTTCTTTAAGCTTTCCTGTCAAACATCTATCCTCCTAATCTCTCCTTCTTTTTGTGTTTGTTACTCTCTTGTAACACCTGTAATCTTCGGCTCTTACACGACCTTATTGTGTTTCAAAACGCTTACTAAAACAAAAACTGAAAAACAATACCATTTTCCCTTGTTTGTTTTTCTAACCAGATCCTAGACCAGATAGATGAGCAGGGCATCAGGATCTACCCTCTCCCTGACTGTGACTCAGACGAAGACGAGGACTACAAAGAACAATGCCGCCAGCTCAAGGTGAGGGAGTCATAATGATATTGATCCTCCTCCTCCTCCTTCTTCTTGTTCTTCTTCTTCTTCTTCTTGTTCTTGTTCTTTTTGTTGTTGTTGTTGTTGTTGTTGTTGTTGTTGTTGTTGTTGTTGCTCTTCTTCTTCTTCTTCT